GAGTTGCAGCGTCGACTAGAAAAACTTACACGGGGGCTTGGAACATGTGGATAAAGTGGAGGGAACGAGTGCAGAAGAGCCCATGGATTGCGAAGGGGTCGGAGGAAGGGGAGATAGTGGAGGAGCTGGCGGAGTACATGGCTTATTGTCGTGCGTTCCTAGGAAATAGGGATTCGACGATAATGGGGAAGCTCGTGGCGGTAAATTTCTATCATCAACAGTTTCAGAACATGTCTTTGCCGTTGAGTAACCCGTACATCAAAGGGGTAGCGCAAGGTATTAAGAGAGGGCACGTGGAGAAAGGTACACAAGCAAGAGTGAGGAGACCTCTGGCATGGGGAACGTTGAGTGCAATGAGGCAGAGTGTTGGCGGTGAGGGTGCAGGGGGAAGAGTGCTTTGGATCGGATTGGCCTTGACATATCTGCTGATGTTGAGGGCGTCAGAGATGTTTGCGGAAAAGGATGGAAAAATCCACGACGTGTACTGCCTGTGCAGGGGGGACGTGGCATTCTTCGAGGGCGATAAGCAGCTGGAAGGACCGGAGAGGTTAAGGGCAGATAAGATAGAAGTGCAGATGAGAGGCTCGAAAGGAGACCAAGGGAGGAAAGGAGCGGTGATGGTCAGGGAGAGGGGGAGGGCGAATGGAGCGGTGGAATTGATGTTGGAACTATTCGGGATTTATGGAAGTGAAGGATTAAGTGCAACGGCACCATTGATGGTACACAGAGGTAAAGGGAAGTGGGAGGTATGGCAGAGAGGGAAGGCGACAGAACAAATGAGGAAGGGGATATGAGCGGTGTCAAAGATGTGGTCGAAGGAAGGGAAAGGGGCAGGGGCGAAGCTAAAACCGGAAGAGTTTGCGTTATACATTCGGGAAGGATAGGTGGGGCGACGAGGCTGGCCGCGAAAGGGGTACCGGAGGCTGTGATAAAGAAGGAAGGGAGGTGGTCGTCGAACGCATTCGAATGGCATACATACCTAAGGGCGAATATGCAAGACCCAGCATGGGTGTCGGCGGTGTTGGAAGAAGGGGAAGGGATATTTGAGAGACAATCGGGGCAAGGGACGGAACGGGGAAGAAATCGGGAAGAGGGCCAGAAGTAAGAAGAACAAGACTTCGTGATGGGGAGGTTTGTGTCCAAGCTGGGCGACCAGCGGAATGTGGTCAGCCTGGTTCTTATTACTTAAGAAAGCGTGTGGATTCCCTAGTAGGCTTAAGGGCCGGGAGGGAGGGAGAGAGTTTCACCTCCAAGACCCGGCCTTTGCGCGGCGACACAATATTAAGAATGGCATTTTTCGGGAAGTGAGAGACAAAAGTGGAAGGTTGTGTTGACAATCTGGTGTTTCGTCAGAACGGTTAGAAAGATCAAAGGGGTCACCGTAGGTAAGAGAGAATTGATAGGTAGGTATGTATAACGAAAAGAAAATAAAAAGGAAAGAGATGCACCTTGCTCACAACAGAAGAAACATCTGAACGAAAGAGCAAGACAACAAGCAAACAAGAGGAGGAGTAGAAGAGAGACAGAGGAGGAAGAAGGAAGCGAGTGTACGGAGGGGAGGAGACAGACAGAGAAAGAGAGCAAGAGCATCGTCGGTTCCGTTCTTTTTTTTTTTAAGCCGAGGTAAGCGTGTCTCGGGCGGAAGCTAGACATGGGTAGCGTGTTCTAGGCTGAAGCAGGGCATGGGAAGGCACATGATCGTGTACAAGTAAGGTCAAGGTAAGCGTGTCTCTGGCTGCTGAGCAGGGCACGGAACGACCGGTTAAGCCGAGGTAAGCATGTTGTTGGCGAGAGCGAGACATGGAAAGACCAGAAGGTTGAGGAAGCATGTTCTAGGCTTGAGCAGGGCATGGAAAGGCTGAATAATGAGAGGAGTATGGTCAAGGTAAGCGTGTCTCTGGCCAAAGGGCAGGACATGGAATGACCGTTAAGCCGAGGTAAGCGTGCTCGGGCGAAAGCGAAGGCTTGAGCAGAGCATGGAAAGGCATGGAGGTTTGTGTCCAAGCTGGGCGACCAGCGGAATGTGGTCAGCCTGGTTCTTATACTTAAGGAAGCGTGTGGTTTCCTTAGTAGGCTTAAGGGCCGGGAGGGAGGGGGAGAGTTCCACCTCCAAGACCCGGCCTTTGCGCGGCGACACAATAATAGAAATGGCATTTTTCGGGAAGTGAGAGACAAAACGCACGTTTTTATGTTTTTATGGCCACAAGGTGGAAAATGAATCAATGAAAAAAAACACGCGGGTTCCGCTGAAAGGGCTTAATAGTGTCGTCCCGTCTGAATGGACGGAACAGTGCTCTGTTGTCGCAGCCAGCATGCTTCACCGTTCGATTGCACACGCTCTATCGACCGGAAAACCGAGCCAGAACGGATGTACGACATCTCGCTATGCGTACAACACATGACATTAGTATCGCCTTCGGTCAGGGTACGCACGCATGGTGGTTTGAGAGACAGGGGAAACGCTGGAAAAGGCTGGGCGGCGTGCAACCCCTGTCAAAAATACAGAAGTAAGTGCACAATACAGTCGAGGTCCCTCTATAGTGCGGGTATGTGCCAGGCGATTCTACCCGCACTATAGCGGGCACCCGCACTATATAAATAAGCGCCTAAATAGTGCGCATACCCGCACTATTGGGGGTTCTGATAA